TTACAGGACAGGAAGAAACTGGACAAAACGGAATAAAATAAAAACGACTAATACAATTGCTCAAGAATAGATATTATAACTGAAACAAATTAAATTTATAGTAACGGGAAGTTTATCATTAGGTTTGAGTATTCATAATTAACATTATTTAATCATAAAAATAAACTATTTGCAATTGAGAATTCAATATGGGTTTTTAATTGTATCTATGTTCAGTATGTGATTTATTGATTTAGTAGTAATTATAAAATTCAGTTATTTTATTTTGATAGTTCTTTAATTATAAAATTAGAGTTTAATATATTCTTTAAAATGAAATAGTAATGATAAACTAGCTACCCTTAATTTCATTAGAAAGTCATAAAAACTTTCAGAATTTTTTCTGCTGTTTGTTTTTTACCTATGTATAAAATGATAGGTTATTAAAACCTCAAAAATTAATATTATTATTTAAACTAGATTGCAGTTATAAACTGTTTAGAAAAAAAAACTCTTTAAATATTTAATATTTCTGATTGGGAAAGAGTTTCTTCCAATTGGGATGAAAGAAATCTATTTCTTTAAAGGTGGTTTTTTTCATCACTGTGGACGAAATTTGCCGTACCTGATGTAAAATAAAGTGAACAAATTTAAGATTAAGTCAATGTCTCTAAAAAATGTTTAAAATAAAAGAGACATTCCATGTTCTTGTAGTTTTTAAAATTATTTNAATCAGGTAAATACGGGGACCCTCACCAAAATATCTCATTTTTCAATTAGTTTTTTTATTTTATTAATTTCAATTAAAAGTTTTAAATGGGTAGAAATATTTATTATTTTAATGTATACACAATCGTCATATAAATTAAGAGCAAGCATCAAGGTAAAACGTGCTGTTTACGATTATCGAGGAAATAACATTTTAAAATTATTTTAACTTTATGTTTTAAATAATTATTTTAAACTACATAAATATAAACTGTCAATACTTGCTGAATTTAATAGATATGTTTGCATTTGTTGCAATTAAATATAAGATATTTAAAGAGCTATAATCCTTGGATTAATTATTATATGATATTTAAAGAACGGAAATCTAAACACCACTCAAAAACTAGTTTTCAAATATTAGGTGTATGATAATTTAACATTAATTCTCTTGATAAATTCATCAATAGGCAAATTTAACAATACTTTTTACAAAGTTATAATTCGTCCCTCCTCTTTTCAAGTACACACCCAGTTTGAATTTAAAAGAAAAGCAAAAAATTCACAGGCCTCTTCAATGAAAGGGAGACAAAATTTTAGTGCGAAGTAGCCTGAGAATGACGTCACACACCCAAAATTCTTTGCAAATTTTTTTTATGATGTTATTCTCATACAACTTCTTACAGACATGTTTTTTGCCTACTTAGAAAATAGATCTGATAATATAAATTTAAATTTGCGACACAATAGGAATTTGAAATGTTTTCATAAAAATATAGACAAAAATTTTAACCGACCAAATGTTCAAAATTTAGAAGGTTCAATTCAGTTTCAAAATTTCGGTCGTTGTTACAACATTAAAAAAGCAAGGTACAGAATTTCTTGAAATACCTTACTTTGTATGGTTATTGATGTTATCTATACTGCAATATGTCAAGCTATATACTGCACAGTATATACTGTTAGGTTTATAATAAGCATTTAATAGTTAATTATAAGGTAATAAAGCAAATGGTGCAGTTGAAATTGCTTTCCATTTAACAATGAATGCCAATGGATGAATTCAACATGTCTCAAAAGTTTTGAGAAAAATTGATCATTTAAAAAAACGATTTAGAGTTGTACTGAATTTAAGGTAGCAAGCACTAAGTCTACAATGAATGAATGAAACAAAGAACAAACTTAGAATGATGAATGCTAAACTCGGGAGAATTAATGTTACCAGGGATACATTTTCCAAATCTCGAAGGGCAAATTGACCATTATATTTCACCCCTCTTAGATTAAATGAACAATGGAAAAAAGGAAACTTTTTTTTAAACTTAAGTTACTTCTTTGATACGGAAACTGTTTCATCAGTACTCCGAAGGTCAAAGACAGTAGTATTTAAACGGTGTAAACGATTCTGTTTCAGAAATTTTACACGAAAAAAGACTATTTTTGTTCAATACATTTAAAATTAACAAAGAGGGAAATAACCATTTTTCTTCAAGGGCACAGAAAGAAAGGCTTAGGACTTACCATCCAAATTTTGGTCATGTATTTTGCAATTTTTGCGAAATTTCTGAATCATGTTTTCTCAATTATCGCAGAAAGGATCGACTTAGAAATATTGTAAAAACAGTAATTTACACCAAATCGACTGTGTGTATGTTTAAAATAGGAATTGATAACTTTTCATTGTCCGCAGTGGACTGATCGTTAAGACACGGTTCCCAGCAGATCACCGAAGTCAAGCACCACTTGGATCAGTCTGCGTAGGGACCGAGGGTGTGCGGTATTGGTCCTCGTTAAACTGTGCTACCGTAAAGTGCTCGACTTCGCGCGCAGGTCGTCGGGCTACCGAAGCGGGGGTGCCATCCCTTCCGCAGAGGATCAAAATTGTGATGGCATGTCTTCGGATCATCCTCCGGGATGTTTCCCAGACCGTCGCCAATAGCCCATTGTGCAGCTCTAGTGCGACGTAAAGTAACAACAACAACAACAACAACTTTTCATTGATTTTTCTAACGCCAAAAGATGTGTCACTGTTTATCCAAAGATGAACCAATTCAGTGAATTACACTTTCAATTAAGAGATCGCTAGAGATGCAACTCATAGAATCTAATTTTCCTCTCAACACGAAATAAGCTATTTAGCAGACAAATATTGCTCATAAGTTTTTTTAATGAAATACTTTTTTTAAACAATAAAACATCTTTTATTTCGGGAATTTATAAAAAAAATGTTGCACTGCTTTTGATCAAAAGGAATATATTTTTTTTACGTTTATCTTTTAAAAAAACTTATAAATCAATTATTCTATAAATAGTGAAAATAAATAAATCGACCGACCGAATTTGCGACCCCTAGCGTAGACATTCTCCCCATTTAAAACACTTTCTATTCTAAATATTTCGTACCCATGAAAAAGATAGGAAAAAATGGAAAACTACAATTTGTGTTCTGTACTTATAAATTAAAAAAAAAACTACAATTTGTGTTCTGTACTTACAAATTAAAAACAAACAAACTACAATTTGCGTTCTGTAATTATAAATTAAAAAACTACAATTTGTGTTCTGTACTTATAATCAATTATTCTATATATAGTGAAAAGAAATTATTCGAGCAACAGAATTTTCACCCCCTAACGCAAACATTCCCCCCATTTAAAACCCTTTCTATTTCTAAATATTTCGTGCCCCGTAAAAAAAGGTAGGAAAAAATGAAAAACTATCATTTGTGTTCTGAAGGTTCTGCAATGACAGTTATATTTCAGGGAGTTGCCTCTAATGGATGCTGAAATCACAAAAAACTGTACTTAAAACAAGAACATTAACCCCGGGGTGACTTAGATGGGGTCACTTTCTCTTTAAAGATGATCCCTCCAATACTATTAAATAAGAAAAGAAAAGAACTGCTAGAGTAAATGATAACGAAATCTTAAATTCTCACGTTACCTTGGCAACTGTTAACGCAAATAAAGAAAGGGCGAAAAAATTCAATACCTAGATCTGAATGCCGTGAAGAATATGACCAGTACACGGAATTCACATTTGCATACATTTAAAGGAAACGTTCCATTACGTAAACCCCCCTCCCCAATTCCTTAAGCACCCGCTACTTCGAGTAACTTTTAAGAGGGGATAAAAAGAAAGATTCAAATGGTAAAGACAAAATTATACGCCACATTTCGTTTCTCTTACTACAAAACGAGAAAAAAAATAATAAACGAATAAAGGACGAACTTCAGAAGTCAAAGGTTTTTTTTTTTTATGGAATGTTTTCTATTGAAAGGTGCCCCATAAAATTGAATATTTTTCTCCTTCGTTTATAATGATTCTGGTATTGTAGAAAAACTTATTCAGTTATCGAAACAAAAAGGGAATGTCATAACAATAAAATATCAGTGTCGAAAATGCGAAAATTTTCCATTAAAAGAAAAAAAATCGATTAAAAATAAATGCACGATGATTGGAAATCAACTTGCAAAGAATATAAATTTCAATACTCATTAATATAGTCACGATAATAAATGTTTAAAAAATGGATTGAGAATTAAATATAGAAGATCACAAACGATCATTATCAGTTAATTATTATTCCAAACTGCAGCATCTTAAGCATTTGGGTGCTAAACTATGGCTAAACAAGCTTTTCCGTATACACACGGTTGTGAACTGCTAATCTTGCTTTAAATATAAAGAGGATATTTATGGCTTACTTAAAATATAATTTAAGTCAATTTATTATTTTCAAATATATTAATTTTTAAAACCTGTAAAAATGTAGTGAAGTAGCATTTCGTAACATAGCTAATTCACCATTATTCATCATAATCGCCCACGACAGAAGAATGAATGTAGAGTTAAATGGTACAACTATACAATGAAACAACGATTCTGAAAATTCAAACAACCTTACGTAAGTCAGACGTAAAACAACTCGGGGAAAAATGAATTCACGAAGATAAGATCGTGTTTGAATCCGTACTCGATGCCTCACTAAAATTGACCGTTGCTACAAGGTGTTAATTTGTTATCCGATTCCTTATGAGGTTACTAAACGGTATTCCTATTTATTTTTAATATTTTTACTTAAATAACTTTATTAATTTTTTTAAACATAACGAGTATTATTTAAAAGTTCAGACAATTCAAGTACAAGAAAAGCAAAGTTCTGAAAATTCATGGCAATTTCATCACTTACTCTTCAAGCAAGTGGTAAAAGATGGAATTCATTTAACAGAATTAGACCTTCATTCATAATACAAAGTAATTCAGGGTCGTGAACCCATACTTATTTAAATAAACTCCAGGGTAATACTTACAGCAAACCTAGATGGTGTAGTAGTATCCATGGTTCGAATACCCAGCACTGGTGTAGCTGGAGCACTACCTCTGCGATCCGAGCAAGCCTTCTCATAGGATGTCTCTGAAAAATAAAATAATAATTCAAATTCACTGGCATTCAAACAGACAATTCATGCATGAAAACGTCCCTGTAATAAGACCAGATACAATATAAAAGAGAAATTTTGATTACTTACAATAAACTTTTTTATGTATTAATTTAAATAATAAATTAATCTATTAATGTTAATTCATGCAGACAATTAAAGATACCCGATATCTAATAACTTTATTGCTTTTTCAACTTTAATATAGATATATATACGTGTTTAATACTTCATTATTTTTTGCTTATTTCATAAATCTGTGCCACATTTTAAATAAAATTACTAAAATAATTCAAAATTGGCAACTTGATAGGTCCATCATAGGTCTTGATAGGTCAATAACCCTTTAAAAAAAACTTTTTTAAGCAAACAACTTTTAACTTTTGGCAAGATATCTAAGCTTAAAACTTAGTGTATTCTTCAAGATTTACAAGATAAAAGATAACTTAAGATAAAAGATAACTAAAATTTAACGAATCTGATAGATAAAATGTTTCATTAAAATACTAAACCTTATTATAATAAAATGGGTTGGATGTATCATGTAAAAAACTAGAATGATCCAAAAGTTATAAAACGGAAGGAAAATATCATTCCACGCCTTATACTAGATTATTAAAACTAGTACAAACCATATACGATATATTGTTCTAAAGGAACATTGTCTAACGAAAAAGAGAAAAAATAGAGATAAGTGTGAATAATGTGGAAATGAACAAAATTCACATGAGGACCATGTTCATTGAATTACACAAGTAACACTAATGAGAATTTTTTTTTATTTTATCGCAGGACGTCATTACCCATTTTTTTGGGTTATCAAAATATAATTAAGTCCAAATATTAAATAATAAAATATTATTCGTCTGGGTATGTTTATGTGAGGAAGAGGCGAAAACCAGACATAAAAGTATGGCATCATATTACTTAAATGGAATCATAATTATGAACCCTGGCGGATGGCAGACTTTTCTCCTCATTTGTCATTGTTAATGAATGATACATCGAGGTCAGTGAGGGGCGTCAACTATTTTTTTTTTTATATATATATAATGCGGGGATTAGTGTGGCAAGGCGTCAAGGCGTGTGCCTCGCACACGCTGTAATTTTGCTAATAAAATAATAAATATAAGCCCATTGACAACAATCACAATTTTGTATACAGTATCTAAGTTTTATTTATTATTATTATTATTTTTACATGGAGTTTCTTTAAGTGAAGGGTTTTGTAATGGTGTGAGAGATAAAAAAGTTTTTCAAAAAGTTTCATAAAATAAAAGATCGGATTTTTCTAATGATAAATTTATGCGAAGATAATTTTTGCGACTGATCTCGTCAAGTATGAGCTAGCACTAATTACGTAGTAAGTAGTATATTTAGGATATATGCTACAACTTTTAAAGTTTCATTTCAGTACTCGAAAATTTTACCACAAGATCAAAAACTCTTGTTTCTTTACGTTGTGTATAAATATATAGATATATATATATTTAAATGAATAAATGTTAACGGAGATATTTTAGTTCGAACAGTTAGACTTATTTTATTTAGTCGGTATTAGTCTAACAGTTTTTAAACACTAAAAAAATAAAATAAAAGGTTTATAAAGAAAAGAAATTGTTTTTTTCTCCGACCGATGAATTTCAAAGGCGGAATTGCATTGAAATATATTTTGTACAATTCTATACAAATTACACATTCAAAATCATGTATAACTATCTCATTCAATCGGAAAAAAATACTACTTTTTAGTGATAAAATGTACAGAGTGTAGGTAAATATCTATTGTATCTATACGTTAGAAACTTTAGCCTCCTTCGCCGAAGTTTTAGTAATTCTTATGTACACGTTATGTGCTCTATCATTACCTTTTAAATTTAATAGTCAGTACAAAAATAGAAATAAGACAGAAAAAACCTTAAATAAGAATTTCTTGAAAGGAATAAAAAACGAAGATTAACAATCTCAAAGATTCGTTTTCTAACTCCTTCATTGTTATTTTTTAATCATAGTTATCTAACAGTTGGCAAAAGTTAAGTGTCCCAAAGACTATTGGAAAAAAAAAAGGGTAAACAAAAACTTCAAAAAGCTACCTTCCATCTGCCGGAACTGCACTGATTAGAATAAAATTAGCTATTATTTTAACGGCACGCGTCTTTCATACAACGCTACCCATCTGTTTTTGGGCCATCCCAACTTCCTTCATCAACCCGAGATGGTTGTTCCATTCATTAAACTTTGGTGACTATTCTGACAGGCAGCTTTCTTCGCGCTTTTTACGGAGAGAGAGAAAATTTTAGTAACTTTAGTTTATTTTAGAAACTTTTCCGCTATTTCCATGAATTCATGGTTATTCCATGGAAATAGTGACGGAAAAATAGAGTCGTTAGTTGACACTCTGCTCTGATGTTGACACTCAAAAATAGCTGGCTAGAAAGTGTAAGGCCGGGAATGGTGTCGTAGTGCGAAACTTAAAAATAAATGTTTACTATGAATTGCAAAAGCTAGAAGACATTGCGACACAGATTGCAGAGAACGAAAAATATTATATTTAAGGTTGATCTAACAAATTCGAAGCAACGTTAAATATATATACCCCATGCTCTATATAATATTTGTACGGATTCCACTGGAGAATGTAGTGTAGTCAAAACAAATATTTGAATGGGTAACGCAAGGAGGTTCTGTTTTGCATATTATAATGTTAATTGCATAATCCAGTTTTGATAAACAAAAATATTCACAGTCATTAACTCTTATATCTTTTAGTTTGAAGGAGAGTTTAAGAATTTTGACGTACGATTTCAGCAACTATTGCAATCCTGCAACATTAATCTTAATACAATTTAAATACAATTTTATTTAATAGTCAGTACAAAAATAGAAATAAGACAGAAAAAACCATAAATAAGAATTTCTTGAAAGGAATAAAAAACGAAGATTAACAATCTCAAAGATTCGTTTTCTAACTCTTTTATTGTTATTTTCTAATTATCTAACAGTTGGCAAATTTTCATGGCAGCATTTTCTAATTAGTTGGCAAATTCGCAGCATTTTCTAATTATCTAGTTATCTAACAGTTGGCAAAAGTTAAGTGCCTCAAAGACTATTAAAAAAAAATAATAATAATAATAATAAAAAAAAGGTAAACAAAAACTGCAAAAAGCTACCTTCCATCTGCTGGAACTGCACAGATTAGAATAAAATTATATTATAAAATTAAAAGTTTTGTTAAAACTTTTTTATAAGACATGGCGATAATGAGGTGGTTTTTAGAATTGTACAAATTAGCACACGTTTGTTTCAGGAATATGACATTAATAAGTGTTCAAATCTTAATGTCATTTTTCACAATGTTGCAGAAATGAAACAAACTATTTTCAATAAGTTTTTTAATTTTATAATGTATATTTGTTATTTTTTTTGTGTGCTTAAAACGACGTATTTTAATATACTAGCAATTCCCCTCCCCCCTTCCAATCAGAGGTGTTTGGATATAAAGATTTATCTGTTAGAATAATAGAATCTGTCAAAATATTCGCATGCACGAAAATATCAATGTACTGATTTCTTTTAAAATTTACAAATATTTAACGCAGTCAAATTAAGATAAATTATTTTATATGTTTATATTAGGGAATAGAAAAAAAATGTCTCGATTAAATTAAATAACAAATGATATCATATAAAGTCCTTGAAAATTAGGTACATACTCTCACCTAGTGGTTGGAAAAACTACATTATTTTGTAGTTAACTACAAGTATTTTGTTACACGTGTAGTTAACTACAAACTACTTTGGAATTGTAGTAACTATTTTAAGGAGACGAATTTACATTAAATGTAAGGGAATAATTAGGAAATATTTATTCATGTTTACATAAGCCAGTTTGTTATTCCAAAAAAAATTTTTGTTGTTGAAATTTTTTCATTGTTTATTACTCTTTTTTTTACTCAAAAAAATCAAGTTCATCGAAAATACGTTCTCCTTTTAAATAACATCAATGTTCCACAAGTGTATATTCACATGTGAAAGTGTGACCAAAGTGATTATCTATTTTTCGTAATGGATAGTTTAAATATTAGTTATATGTGATTCTAAATACGTAATTCTTGTTAACGCTCAGTTGCAGCCACAAGGTCATTTTCATTGTAGCCATTGAAGGATCAGCGAAGATTTGCAAAAATCAAATTCGAAAAATTAGTTGTGCTAAAGTCGTGTTTCTTTACTAAACTATCGTTAAAAGTGATTTCCAAAAATCGCTACAAACTTTTTTTCCTTCTTTTTTTTTATGTATAGCACTACTACAAGCCATTTTTATGTTTAGCACTACTAAAAGCCATTTTCATGTATAGCGCTACTACAAGCCATTTTTATGTTTAGCACTACTAAAAGCCATTTTCATGTCTAGCACTACTACAAGCCATTTTTATGTCTAGCACTACAAGCCATTGAAGGACCAGCGAAGATTTGTACCAATCAAATTCGAAAAAAATTAGTTGTGCTAAAGTCATGTTTCTTTACTAAACTATCTTTAAAAATAACTTCCCAAAATCGCTACAAACTATTTTTTTTAATGCCTAGCACTACTCTACTTAAAAAAAGTAGCTCACTACACTACAAACTAAGAAAAAAAAAGCGACTACAGTAGTTTCACTACTTGTAGTTTGCTACTTCTGACTACTTGCTCACAACTCGTTCTAGAAAATAACCCAGACTAATTTAAAAAAAATATGAAGGAAATTGCATATCAGAATAAAAATAATGAACTTTCAATAATTAAATAGTACTAGACATACATATAAGTGTTAATTCAGTAAATGGATTGTTTCAAATGGACAAAGATTTCTTAGAAATCATGTCGTTCTTAATGAATGATTCGCTTCAGTTGAATGAAATGTCGTAATACGATCCTTCATCCGAAGGATAAAAAAAAAAGTGTCTTATAGAAGTACATAATCATTTATTCGCGAGA